CACAGGGTCTTGGATGCGATGGCGAGACTGTGCCTGGATGCCACCGAGTGAGGTAAAATCTCGCCAATAAAAAATATCCCCAAAGTGCATGAGGCAGTGGAGAGAGCGGTCATTCCTAAGATCTGGCACATCCACACCACAAAACACGTGTTTGTAAGCACGTTACCTAGCACCACAGTGCAAAGGATGTAGTTGCCATGTTTACGCACTGACTCTATTTTTCGCGCGTATTTCTGTTCTTTCTCTGTGCCGCTGTTCTGCAGGACCCGCAACTCGACCGGGTCCAGAGACAGCATGCTAATATTCAGCCCGCTGCACAGAGCAGACAGCCCCAACAAGAGCACAGAGACTCCTGCCTGCAGCCAAGCATCTGCCTCTGGAGGTCTCTCCACCACCGCCAACCAGAAGTCTTTGGTGCTCAAGTGCTCCCATTTCACTCCATCGAACGCGCACATGGAGTAGTATTTGATCACCTCGTCTCTGCGCAGGTCTTTGGCGAGCAGCTCCACTAAGACTGAGTTATGACTTGAGGTGGATCTGAAGGAACCCAGCAGCTCGATGTCTGAGCTCCGGGCATTCTCCTCTTCGCATGGATTTCCCCTGGACAGAAGCGGACTTTCTGCATCTCCACTGTCCCCACCTGGTTCCTCTATAAACGCGATCCACGGGGCGGCAGGTGCTGCGTCCGGTCTGCCGCTGATGTTCAGGCTGTTGGGATTTTCGGTACCTGGAGAAGCGGAGTAGTAAACCCTCAGCATGAAGCGGGTCCCCTCGATAGCCCTCAGTATCCCGTCCTGCACGGACAGTTCTCCGCTCTGGGTGTCTTCAGGCCGGACGCCGAGCAGCGCCGTTGTCTTGGCCGGCAGGGAGGAGATGGTGACGGTAAGAAAGAGGAGGGAGAGCCGGCGCGGATGCAGGATGCTGCAGAGAGCATCCGCAGCATCCGCAGCCATCATGCTGAATGAGCCGCTGAAGGACACGGGAGAACTGGGTCACGTGGTTTGCGGATGGGATGGATGGAGCAGCTGGGTAACATGGAGAGAGAGAGAGAGAGAGAGAGAGAGAGGAATTCAAGTGTGTGTGTTTGTGAGCTGGCACCTTAAATATAAATGACAAATCCTGACGTAAGCCTCGCTTATTTGCTTTCTGCTGCTTTCTATAAATAGAAAGCAGGAAATGCCCAATCATTTATGATTCATGCGATAGAGCCCCTACAGCTACGCCAGAGGAAGATATTTACTTGCTAAATAGTAGAGATATACAAGCTGAATACAAAAAAGAAACTAAATGAGAAAAACTGGGATGTGTATCAAGTAAGCAAATGAATACAAAGAAATGCTGCGCTGTGTTGTGTGCCAGTTTGTGCGTTAGTGCAGAGCTCAGACTTCATTATTATTTTTAGTAATTTTTTCATTTACAATTTTAAACTCCCCACTAGATGGCAGCATCGCCACCTGTTTTCGGTGCAGTACAGTTTGAAAAACTGTACTTGTTGTCTTTCAGGATAAACACATAAATGTAATGTGTTTCTAAAATCTCTGTTATAATAGTTTGTGTTTCAGTAACCGCATCCCTTAACAAATTAAAACACAGTGTCGCTGTATCTAAATCTACTTTAAAAGAACACTCACACATTTCATATATATGTAAATATATATGTATATATTATAGATATCACTTTTAACTTCTATACGCTTTGGAAATATTAGCCTCTGTTTAAAGATTATATGACAAGGAACAACGTTTTACTGACTTTCATGACGTTTAAATGTTGACATGAAGAGGATTGTTCTTGTTTGTTCGTTTGGTATTTTTTGTAAAAACAAACTAAGTTGCAAATAAATAATTACAATCAAGTCCCACAGATCATTATTATTATTACTATCATTATAATTATTATTACTACCATTATTATTTTTATTATTGTTGTTGTTGTTATTATTATTATTATTATTATTATTATTATTATTATTATTATTATTATTATTTTGTACAGTTCAGTGATCAGCTGGTTCAGATCTAACGCATCTCAGTTCGGTGACCGGTTTGTGGGATTTACGATGCAGAAAACTGAAGGCGCAAAGGGCAAACAGTCATTGCTAAACTTTACTCAGACGACAAAAAAACAGCAAAACAAGTTATAAAACTGTCACTCCAACTGTCATCCTAGAATGACAGACAATTTTCCTGATAAAATTACACATTAAATAGTTTGCCAAACAAAACCAAAAAATATATGCGTATAAAAAAATTCGCATCGTTAAAGATTCTGCTGATGTATGAATATGTCGACCATATATGTTTTACATGAGATATTTTTCACGATCGATCAAAATAAACGCATTGGAAGCGGTAAAATAAATCTTAAAGAAAGCCAACCATTGAGTCCGCCCAACAAAAGTCGCCGAAACTGCTCTGATGATTCAGTGTATTTGTCTAAACCTAATTTTGCTTAGGAAGTTTTTAAACGTCTCTATGCTCTATTCTTTTATTCAAACACCCTGCTGGATGAATGATATAACTCGTGCTGCTTTTCTGCTGAGGTCAGTAATTTTTTTCCCCCTCACAAAGCAATAATTTCCCATGATTGCAGCAACAGATCTTGATTTTTATACAGCAGCAGCGTCTTTAACATTAAACACAAAACAGACAGAAAAATACTCAGTTTAATTAAAGCTGCGAATCATTTCCTGAACAAACTATTGTAAAGTTTACATTCAAAAGAAGCAACGAGAACATTACCGCACATCATGATTAAACTCTCCCTTCAAATTATTAAATCCGAAATTAGAGTAGGTTAGATTTGATCGAAGAACAAGTCTATTGTAATAGTAGCAGACTATTTTCCCTCACCGAATATGTTTAACTGATTTAATATTTTCCTAGAAAGTTTTTCTTCTTCCACTGACAGCTTAGAGTTAACAACATAACTTTATATATAACTTGTGCATTTTTCACTTCTTTTTATACCGGCCCGTGGAGAAGCTGAGAGTGTAAAAAGTCACCGTGCTGTTTTGTTTGCTTTAAATTAGAGTTTCAAATCCAAAAACAACAAACCAAACCGTTTTCAAATTTCAGCAGTACAGTCGATCGGTAGGCCGTAAAGGAGTTTAACATTCACTAAAACAATAGCAAAGAGAAAATATAATAGACAAAAATTCCCTGCGTACTCATCCTCATTATCCATGCCATTTCCTCTTAGAATATTATATGATAGTGCTGTTTCGATAGGCTAAAGGTTCCGTTTTCCTTCTTTTTGAATAAAATATCCTCAAGGGTGAGATAGATGTCCCAAAACGCATTTGAGATCTAATTATATGAAAATGTTAAATATTTTTCCACTGAAAACTAAAACTGTGGTTGAATTGAAAGCGCATGTTAATTATGATGTTATCTGCGCCAACTGACAATATGAAGAAATGCGGAAAATCAGATTTTGTGCTTTTCTGCTGCTCTTGTTGACCGTGGGTCTGCTTCTTCTAACAGGCCGAAGAAAACAAGCTACCACCCCACGGAGAACGTTACGTCAGAGTTTCTGACACTCGTGAGCGACACTAAGAAATATCAGCCCACTTTGTACCAAATAAAATCAAAGGATGATCTTTTAATCTGCTTTGTGGGGAACTTTTGTGTCCCTAAACCTAAAGCCTGACTGCTTGGATGATTCTGTGTTGTGGCTTCGTGGATTCGTGAGTAGGTGTTGTATACCGGAAAGAAACGATTAAATTGAGCTTAACTTTGTGCATTTTTTCTCTTAAGTACTTCGTTGCTCATCTGTGAGACAGCAGTGACCTTAAACGACAATCGCCTGAGGAGAGCTTGGCGCATTGCGCCGTGGAAAAAAAGAAATAAGCGGATGGGGGGAAGCGCAGTAGCCTGCACTTTGGTTGGTGTGTGCTTGCTCACAAGTATCCCAAGAACATCTGGACTAAAGCCATATAAAGAATTTATAGGTAAGTTCCATGTGCGGAGACTTACATCCCAAACTGGTTTTGAATGCTTCTGAAAAGAGGCCAAATATCCAGACTGGCATCTCCAAGTGCCATCTCTAAAATGTGCAATCAATAATCTATTTGTCAAGAAAGCAGAGCCTTTGCAATGATCATGAGTTATGCTGCTGACAAGATCTGTTTTTGTTTTGAAGCTGAATTTTTGTTCTTTTGAACAACAGCCTCGAGATTCTTTTCTTTTACTTTTAATATTTTCGACTTTTTGCTGGAACGTTTAGTTTAAGAAATACGACGTAAGACGGGCGAAAACGACCTTCAGTCAGTCTCTGCTGTAATAATTTCTTATGATGGACAACTGAGATTTTCAGTTTGGCCAGGCGATTAGAGGCCTGCGTACGGTCAGCCTGAATTTAGGTGAGTCTAAGCACAACTTCTGGAAGATCTTTATACAGTCTCCCATTGCGCTATCAATATGGTTATTCTAAAATTATTTTTTTCATATGACAGTATTGCATACATTTAATCCAAGTTTTGCTTTTCTTCAGCTTTTTTTTAAATGATTGATTATTATCTTTCCGAAAGGACCAGCCGCCATGGCTTATCATTTTTAAGGAAAAAAGCCTTTTATCCTCGCCCAAAGGACTTAATCGGTTCTAAATGTGTACTTTTCTTACTTGTTGGTATTTGAGTATAGCTTAATTACTGGACTGAACTCGAGTTTTCTACAAAATCTGATTTTGATTTTAACAGCGTTTTAAGAAACAACGATTAATGTCAGTTTCTTCAGAAAACAATAACCTCTGTATTCGGTGTTTAGGAAAAAAAAAACTGCAATCATAGTTCGTAAGACTAAATTCTTATACTTGTGAACTGGGAAGACTTTCGAGTAGTCTGTCCTCATACCTCGGAGAACCTTAGAGGGGCGGTACTGTCTTCTCTCCTCCTACCAGTTCTTGCTCTCACAACGGGAAAGGCTGGCTCGGGGCGTGCGCTCTTGCGTGCAGCTCCCAGAAATACTCGGAGGGGCGGGGGGCAGGGGCGGGGGGGTGAGACAGCTAGACAGGAAGACAGATCCAGATCGATGAGACCGAGGTATAGAACCGCCATCGAACTCCTCGGAAGCAGAGATTGTTTAGTGCTTGATTTCTTTCCACCTTTAAGCTTCTTTGCGCACACTGATCCCCCTGCTCTCCAAACCAAGAAGATGCCCAAATCCTCTCCGCGCGTATTCCCATGGCCCTCCCTGTGGCTGGCATCGTTGCTTATTTTGATGGTGCAGTCGGTGCTCTCGTCCTCTACGTATCAGAGACCTGCAGTCGCTGGGAAGCGCCAAGGCTTCTTGGAGAGGACGCTGGTTCTCCTGGATGTCAACACCCGCAGTTCAATCAGAGTCCTCAACGAAAACTTCCTCTCTCTCCAACTGGACCCCTCGATCATCAGAGACGGATGGCTGGACTTTCTGAGGTACAAAAGAACCCTTTCCTGCTTGTCGTCTACATCGATCTATGTGGGTGCCCTCCTCTAAAATATTTGGAGGTTATTTTATTCATTACGCACGCAGCCACGTTGTCTGAGTTGTCATGGATCGATCCAGCACGTTTCCTTCTCACTCCGGGAACCAAGCAGTCCAGTTCTCCATACTGATTCTGACTGAGGTTCGCAAAGTTTAACTTTAAAAAAGACTACACTGAGTGGACGATTCCTTCAAAAACTGTCCATTTAGGGTTGCAGCTGTTATAGTCTACAGTGTGCACTGTTGCATCAAGATTTGATAAAAATGATCTAATGTCTATCTAAATCTAAAATGCAAAATGTCACTTTCATAAGTTAGCCAATCTACTTTTCACCTTCTGAAAATAACTAAAAGAACAGATCGACTGGTTCCAATGGCAGCTATGTTGCTTTTTTTTTTTTTAAATAATGAAGGGTAACTATTTATTTACTGCTGGCTTTTCACCCTGAGTATTTCTCTGAACAGTTGGAGGAAAGCACAGACTGAGACCACGACCCGCGCCACTGTCACAATATTTTGGCTAATGAAGCGCAGCATTATTAAAACCCAGACTTTCAATAATAACTTTAAAGTGTGTTTAAACTAAACACACTGACAATACCCGAAGTCTCTGGCCCGCTATGACATGTATTGAGTAATGCCAGATAATGTTATTCGGTACAGCTTCTTATATAAACTGGAAACCACTCAGTGACAAAGAATGAGCACATCTTAATCCGCGCGTGGCCCATTCTCGGTTATTATTTTACAGTAAATATATGACATTTGATATTTTATTCACATAGCCGTTACACTTCTACGTGTCACCTAACCACTGTTCCAACTTTGATTTTTATATTTATTATTATTGTAGTTCGTATTGTTGTTTGTTACCCTTACATTGAAATGACGAGGATTCATATGTGTGATCAACCAAAATTAAAAATTCAGTAAGACTCGTGGGCCGTTTCCGCATTTTTCATAATTGAACTGGATTATGTGGTTTAGACTGACAATCGAGCAAAGTAGAAGTCTCTCTCTATACTTTGAATTAGTTTTTAAAAAAATGAAAACTTCATACTCACTAAATATGAACTTAGCTTGAATAGCTTTGTATGGACTACACGCTCCTTTTGATCGGCCTCTATTTCACGTGAATAAAGAACATGAATAAGTAAAAGGCAGCTTGAGTGTATGAAAGAAAATAGGTAAAGAAACAGCAAGTTAGTTGGGAAAAATATTTTTAAAATATTGAGGATAGAATTGTTCGTCAACTACACAAAGCATGTGTGTGTGTCGTTTTAATCCTTTGTTCATCAGCTTGTGGCCTTGTACTACCTGCTGTAGTGGCTGCCAAATGCGTCGTGGGTCTGCAGACGAAGGGAAAAAGTTTTATGATAGACCTGCAGCAAATTAGCAGTTACGGGAAAATCCAATTTCTTCTGTAGCTAATCTGTTTAATAGCTGGATGGTCTGAAGTAAACGGAACTGAAGAACGGGAGACAGGACGATCACAGAGAACGACGACTTTTTACTGACTTTAACAAATATATCCCTCGTTATAAATGTACATAGGTTAGCAGTTTTAACGTGTGAGTCTAGTCTGTAAAAACCACCCAGTTGCTGAAGTGTTTTTTTTTTTGTCCCATATCCGCAGCTCCAAGCGGCTCGTGACCCTGGCGCGAGGCCTGTCGCCCGCGTTTCTGCGCTTTGGTGGAAAGCGAACAGACTTCCTGCAGTTCAACAACCAGAAGAACCTCGCCAAGTTCAGAGGGCCGGGACCAGACTACTATCTGAAAAACTACGAGGACGGTGATTAGACATGACATTTTCTCCTCTCTCTCTGGCCCCAGTATTTATTTTAGACCGACTTTTAGAAGATGATTAAATGTTTGCTCTCATGTCAGTCCCCATTTCTTTGAGGGAATGTTAAATCCTCTGAAGCTAGGGTTGCCTATTTCTTCATGAAACGCTGTGCTACGCTGCCAGTTTAAGGACTCCTAGCTAAAACGAAAGCGAAGACGAGAGAAACAGAAGTTTAAAAGAAAAGTTAGAAAACAAATCATTTTACTAGCCGCTACAACTGTTTTTAATATATCGCTCCTATAGTATGGTTATGCCTTTTTCACAGCAGGACGTTATGACATGAACACAGGTGTTATCATCTTAATTATGATTCACACCTTAAAAGCACAAAACCTTCATTAAAGTTGTTGGAAACACCTGTGTTTACCTAACATTTCATATCACAATGGCGGCTTTTCGCCGTGGTCCGCAGAGCCAAATATTCAGTTTTTCATAACCCCCCCCCCCCCCCCCCCCAAAAAAAAAAAAAGAAAAAAAAAAAAACGGCAGATATTTGGCTAGATATTTTTATATGGCTTCACTAAAGTGTGTTGACAAAATATTAGAAACACGTCTTAGTATAACCCAGTGGACTACAGTTTAACGCATCCCTAATGTGTACACTTTAAAAATTAACTTGGATTAATTTTATTTAAATAGTTTGATTGCACACTTCATTTTAGACACATGATAAAGGCAGAGCACTAGACTGTATTCATTTTAGATAAATGTGTGTTATCAAAAAAAAAGTCACAACTGAGGATGTAAATGGCGATGTAAGGAGGTGGTCTATATACTTAGTCTTGCTAGATATCAATAAAACACGTGTGTTTCTTTGAATAGTAACAGACTGGGTTACAGATATAACTTTATGTTCTGGCTTTGGCAGTGTGTTAAACTGCTGCAGCCTTCTGGTTTCAGTGTGACTGAATTAAAAATTTAAAATAAAATAAAAAAAGATATGTACAATTAGTTTGGGGTGAAAATTGCAACATAGGTTTCTCTATGGCAAAAATATTAATAAAATAATAATTTTTTTCCATTCATTCTGGTTTTCAGATATTGTGCGCAGTGACATTGCACTGGACAAGCAGAAGGGCTGCAAACTGGCCAGCCATCCTGATATAATGCTGGAGCTGCAGAGGGAGAAGGCAGCCACCACCCAGCTTGTTCTGCTAAAAGAGCAGCTGTCTAACATCTACAGCAACATTACAATAACAGGTAGGAGATCACACACACACACACACACACGCATGCACGCACGCGCGCACGCACAAAATAGGCCTTTTTTGGCACTTATTCATATCCTGGCGTATTGTCTGCAGTTTGTTCATACACATGCATGTGCACTCACATGAGGTTCAAAGCACACCAGTGTAAACCATCAGCTTTCAGAATGACAAATGTAATTTGTAAAGGAGGAATGTAAGGATGGATATAGGGGTGCAGCAGCAGGCAAGTAAACAGAGCACTGACATTTTCGCTGGTTACAGTTAACTCAACCTGACCGCAGAAGGAACTCTGACGTCTTGATGTTGGGTGGGCTGCATTTCTTATCTGTTTTCCTTTGTGATTGATTGGGATGGAAATAAGAAGCTGCAGGAGAGGATAGTAACAGAGGCAAAAGTAAAATATTGGATTTATGTTTTAAAAGTATTGTACTGCTCAGAAAAGTCCACAGACTTGGACTTGGTAATAAATTGGCTGCATCTGTCAGCAATAATTAATTCATGCTGTTTGTGTGGTTTCAGAGGACTTTGGATTCAAAATAAAATTGTAGTTGATTACTAGGAAGGTTAAGTCTTATACACGCCCTTTTTATCTTCGTTAGCATGTTGAAAAGTCAGTGGGTTGGAATTGTGTTTTGGGTTGGTGGGATTTTTATACCAAAATCTGAACCACCCAAAAAAGAGTTTCAAAACCTGTAAGTTCTTTTGGAAAAGTAATGTTGGACTTGGGAAGTAGCAGGGACCTGAGTTGAAGAGAATCATTAGATACAGTGATGTACATGACCACGTGTTCTCTGTCTGGAGACATTAAAAATATTTGGCCATGCGAATCTTAAAGTCATTGATACATTATGTAAAGAATCCAAATATACGTTAATTGAACCCCGTTGAATATGCCACTAATATTTTTGGTCATAACATGCAGAGAACAAAAAAGCCTTGCATGAGTTGGTCTACAGAGTATTTTTCATGTATTCAGACTGTACTGCTTCCCTGGGACAGACCCTCTGTGTGTTGCTGTGTGAGTGATAGAGGCAGATATGAAGACCATACATCAGCTGCATATTTTCAAATAGTCTCAAGTGCAACAGTGAAAACACAAGACATATCGCATTTATCAAAGTAGGCAAATACACAGAAGAAGAATTTGTACCTGCTCGGGTGTGGGGTCAGTTCACAAGTTCAGGTCAGGAGTTATTTACTGTAGCACCCTATCATTAATACTGATCTGTTGACTGTGCAAAAAAAACCCATGGCCTTGCAGTATTTCATTGTATCACTGCAGGAACTGAAGATTTTACACAGAGTTCCAGCATTTTTGGAACATCTACTGCGCATGAGAGTTTGAAGTTTTTTGGGGGGTTTGTTTCTTTGTCTTTTTTTTTTAACAGCCAGATCTATTGTTGATCAAACATGCTGGTAGCAATTACATAATTATATTTTCTTGCATTGTTCTCATATGGTGCTCATATGAATACAAATTTAAAGACACAGTACGAGCAACTAGTAATGTGGGTGTTATGGCCAAGCTTGTTGAGACATGCAACTTGTATAATTTCAGAAAAGCATATAACATGACTACTGTGCGAAACTGTAAGATCAGCAGAAAATAGTGTTGGAGTATCCAGTTCTGCAGTTCAAATCTCAACAAATACTTATTACACACACAATGTTGTTGTGATGCATTGACATCATTTGCATTATCATTCTGATATTGTCTGAGTTGCTGTTTCTTGAAAAAGAAATAGCCATAATCTTAAAAAAACATGATCAGGACACCTAGTCCCAGTCTTACATGTAGTATAGCGCTAATGTTGCTCAAAATTAAGACCACATTTCCCATAAACCCTGCTGCTTCCTGTCACAAAGAGGATGTTAGCAGCAGCAGCTGCAGCATAGAGGAGAGGCAACAGCTTGTCTCTATGACTAAAAGATATGTTATTTTATCCTGTAAATACTGTTTTCAAACTGTATTTAAATTTGCTGAAGCAAGTTGATGAAGTATAATCTTAAAATATTGATACATTTAACCTTTTGTGAATATGAACTAATTGTTATTTTCCTAGATTTGAGACATTTTAAGTGTTTGGGACTCATGGAGAATCATGTCCTTTTAAATGGTAAAACCTCAGTTTGGAGACCCATAGGGTAATGCTAGTTTTACGCAGGTGCCACATTTCTTATCAGACTGCACTTAATTTAGCGAAAGTCTTTTCACAAAAACATCTAATTTTTCCAAACACAGGCTAAGCTAAAAGCAATTATTTGAAGCTATTAAGGGAATTGGTGAGGCTATTGGTTTCTTTTAAAGGTGCAAAAACAAAAAATGTGGAACTGAGCAACTATTAGTTGAGAAATAAGTCACCAGAATGCACGCTGATGACACTGAAAAAGTCCTGAAAGTGTGAACATGTTTCTGTGTAAAGTCCAATCTGTGCAGAAACTTCATCTCTGTGCTGGAGAGAAACAGGGGTTCAGAGGCACTAAGGATGTGTTTAAATATGGTCTGGTAACAATTAGTCAAGATCTGTGTGTGTGTGTTTGTGTGGGTGGGTGCGTGTGCTTGTGGTGTGTGTGTGTGTGTGTGTGTAAAGGCAGGTGGTGTTTTAAAGACCTTTAACAGTCTCTCTCCATCCTTTTCCACTCACCACTGTCTGACCTTTGGCCTAGGCTTGTTAGAGCTATCAGTAATGGGGCCACTCTGAGTTTACATGCGCACACACATTCAGCTGGGGTATGAAGTTGAGAAATTACCATGACCTTAGACAAGGTCATGGCGAGCGTCATTTCATGTCTCTCTGCAGGAGAATATTCCTCCATCAAGGATCACTTCCTGGACCTTTTTCTCTTTTTTTGCTTTACCTTTTCTTCTCTAACTCTATCAGTTTCCTTTTCTTTATAACACAACACCTCTCTTATATTTACTGTTAGTTTAGCTATTCTGATTTCACATGAGGATAGGCATGTTTTACACTGAATGAAGCGACCAGTCCGTTCAACTTGGGACATTGAAAACCTCGTTCATGTATTGAATACTCAAAGGATAGACACAATTCAATTTAGGAATTCCTATACTGTGTTATTCTTGTCATATAAAACTGGAAGATCAGTATTTGTGAATAGGAACCAGAAGAAAATCTTCCAAAAACAGAGAAATCTGAGAAGCAAGAGTGAAGAGGAGGACATTGTCAGTAATGAGGTCTGCAGCTGCTTGCAGGAGAGTGAATGGAAAAGCAGTTTTCTACTTTACTTTAAAAGTATCAATGATCTTGAAATGTTTTCTTTGACACTAAATACAAAAAGAACTCATCTAATCAGTGTTTTTATAGTTCTAGCTGCACCAATGGGAAGAAACTGCATTGTGCCTACACACACACACACACACACACACACAAATACACACACACACACACACAACCACACACACACACATATATATATATAATATATATATATATATATATATATATATATATATATATATATATATATATATATATATATATATATATATATATATATATAAATAAATTGAATAACTTAATGCATGCATCAAAAGTTTCTGTATAAGTACACAGTGAAAGAAATTATGGTGACAGAGATACAAAAAGCTACACTGTCCTGTGCTGTTAAAAACTGCATAAAATCAATATTTGTCATATTCAATGCAGCCCTACCCAGACACTGAGGTAATAGTATTATTTGGTTGGTTATTTTATGTTTACATGCATGAATAGTTACATCATTGGGGGAGGAAGTATCTTGATGAAATATGGCAGTTGATTAGCAGTTGATTTCCTCATAAAGGCAAGATGTCAAACTCCAAGATAACTGGCAGTTTTGTGGTCCTTGCTAAAGCCAACTGTTGCTTGTTGGAGAAGCCAAGAATGAAGATCACTGCAGAAGGAGTAAAGTTATTAGGACTTTAAATTAGTAGTGTCCCCTGCACAAACTATTGCAAAGAGGAGTCATTATGTGATGGTACATAGAGATGAATTTATTTTAATTGAGTATAGTGAGACAAAGATGACCACTTCACTTGATCAAATTTTGGTTTGAGATGACACACTTAAGAATATTATTTTAATGTAAGATGAGTCAAATGTTGGCTTCATGATCTAGCAGATGGTTTGGAGCCTGACGTCACAATTTAGCCTCTACTCTTTCTCTGTTTCTTAGTCTGATCTCACACTCGCAGTATTAAGTGACATGAATGTTTACGGGATTTAATCAGTTGTTAGGTATACGCAAACATTACTGAGAGTAGATCAGACACTAATACCATGAGCCTCTCTCTGTAAGTTGGCACAGTCAAGGCTAGAAACCGCTAACAGAAAGATGCATAGCTCCCCAGGAAACATGAGAAGAATGACAGAAAAGTGAAATATGTTAATGTTTATGTAATGTATTCTTTGCAACAAATGTTCTTGTGCACTTGATAAAGGTCATTGTGCTTAAATGAAATCTTGGCCACGTAGTTTATTTGGCGTGTGTACAATTCTACCTAAACATGAAGTCTACATGTAAAACTGAAGGGTTTTTTGTCAACGACTGTATGTTTCAGTGACTTAGTCAGTGTTCAGATTCTGAGTTGCAACATATGGGAGAATAGAGGAGAATTTCACTGTATGCATATCTCAAATGTTCCACAGAGTTAGTGGATAGCCTTTCTAAGCCTGCTAGAAAATATGAACAGGGCTGGACATGCAAACTTTGATTATTACGTTTGACTGTTTTCATTAATACTGTACACACTGCTGCACTCTAGCTTGTGAAACCAGCTGTACTTTTGTGTACACACTTGATGTAAAACTGCACATCAAATGTGTAAACACATATTGAAATATTTCACCCCAGCTCAGATATCAAATCGGATTTTTTGTGCGAAAAACTCCTATCCTGTGTGCAGTACAACTGTGAAAACTGAAATGAAATTCTTGACAGAAAGCGTAATGAGACACTAACATACAGGAATATGTTAAAAATCTGGAA